TAGTTGGTCTTCATGTCTTGTTGACTCAAATGACACTCCGTAAATACTAAAATCTTAATAAATGCTGGTAGTTGATTTTTCTCGACTGTTCTGAAATCAAAAATTTCAACCACTGAAAAATTTCATCTTTGATTTCGAGTAATTTTTTTCGGTTCAATAGTTTGCAATGCTACGTTTGCGTTGTATCGCTAGTGACTCCAAAGTTTGTTTAGCCTCTGGTTTTCTTGAATCCAGATATTTCTTGAGGGGATTTCAGTTAAGGAAAAAATTCAAATGTTCTTAGGTCGATCTCCGTTTATCGACTCTTAATAAAATTGAATTTTTTGAGGTAAGGTGGCAGGGGGCGGATCTAGGATTTTCTCGAGGGGGGGGGGGGCGGATTTTCAAAAAAATTTGGAAAATTTCTTATTTTTAGGTCGACCAAATTGATTTTCCGAGCTCTCCGAAATCACTAAGAAGACCCCCTGTTTTGGTCAAATTTCCTGCGCCGCAGGCAAAATTGTGAAGGCGTTTTTAGGCACTTTTTGGAAAATTTTGACCGAAAAATTGCGTTTTTCTGGCGCGCGCTCCTCCCTCAAAAATAACTTATATTGGCGCCGAAGACACCTTAAGAACATTTTTAGGGTCCGTCGCCAAATATGGATATCTCACAATAGAACAAAGGGGGATCCTTTGGGCTGGTAGGGGGTTGAATCGCTGAGGCGGGGGCCGCTCCGCACAACCCCCCCCCCAAATCCGCACCTGAAGGGGGTCTGGAAAAGCTGGTTGAACCTTTCTTAAATTAAATTAGTGTTTTATAAGCTCTAAGGAATAACGAGTGTTAGTGAATGCACGCTCTCGGTAAAAAAATGATACCAATTCTCTTTGTAAAATGCTGTGATCCAAAAAGAGTACCAGCACTTTTGCTGTCCTTTGATTTTGTGAGGGTTAATGATGATCTTAGTTAATCGTAGTTTTTCCTAGTACGGTTTCGACAGTTTTCGTTTTCAAGAGCTTCAAGTCTAGCAACTACTGCTGACTCAAATATTGACGAAGTTGTGTCGCTTCTGATCGTTGCAAAAATATGCAAAGATATAAGCACTGCAAATAAATACCAAGTTGCAAGATTGTGACCATCAGGGCTTTAAAATGGTACCACACTTAACGCCTTCGAGCGTTCACTAAGATCACCAAAATTGCCCAGGACAAAACACACCTATGCTTCTCTTTTTTCAATATACAGTAAGATTAATGTCTCTACAGACAGCAAAAATATTTTCGGCAAAAATTAAACCAAGGGGAGGCCAAGCCTCGTTAATTTTTCGTTGCTGAAATAAATGATACTGATGAAAAATGTAACATTATGTGAATGGAAGCGAGGATGGTTTTTTGTACCATGAAGTATCATTATTAGTCTTGCATTCAACCGATCAAAATGAGTCAGCGACCAACATGTTTAATTATCTGTCATGATTCTTGCATTTGCTCAGCCCACCAACTATAAGACTAAACTATAGCTGAAGATAAAATATATTTAAAGATAAAGAATGAATTGATTCAGGAGCAAATAGAGCATCAAATTAAGCGCAACTTCATTTCAAGAGAGCCATTGTCTCTAAGGACAGTTAATCGGGTCGCTGATTATGAAAGAAAGCCTTTTACTTTGACAGTGATTTTTAATTGCTCCAACTGCAACAATGCAGAACCCATGTGGTGAGGTGGCACTATGCCATAAGCAGATAATGTGGTATCAGATTTAACCCAATTCAATCTTGCAATATCTGATTTACAACTTTTCAGCCTTAATTGAGCTAATATTTTTTTGATTCTTGAATTATAATTGCAATCACCTACTCACATTTTCCTCAAGTACGCCATCATAATACTTTCTTGCCGATAGTTTTTTGCAAGGATTTCAGTGGTTGAAACATTTCATGCAAAATGAGCAGCAATTGTCTTCTTGATAATTCCATTATTCCAACCTCCATTTAAAGAAGTAGGAAAGAATTAAGGCGTAGAGGTAATTTTTCCGCCCGATTTTAGGAAATCCAAATCTCGTAGGGCGTCAAGTGTGGGTCCACATACAAGTCATATTGGTCCATATTCCATTTAAAAAAAATATCGCCAACATTTATACAGCTGGAATAGTGTCAATAAACTCAAGTAAACTATTACTACTACTATAACTGTACGTTATTGTTTTCCCATTGTGGCGGAGTTGAAAAATCGGAAAACGCAAAAGCAATCGCATATCTGGATAGCTTGACAAATTCCAGAATTCAGATGAGGGTATTCTGAATAGCATTTAGGCTATTTAATGGAAGATGTTAGGTTTTTCCAAGCCATTTGATTAAGGTTGTCTATAGGTTTGAGGCTCAAGTATTCAGGTCTCGCTTAACACAATCGGTCCAGCGTTTTATAGGTATTCCAGCTGGCCTTTTCCCTAGGAAGGAAACGGAGTTTGGATTTTAGTGCGTGATCGTTTTGCCTTCGGTGAGAACATGACCAAATCATCGAAGTCGTGACCGCACATGTAGCTTGTGCAGATCAATAAAACCTGCTTCATTGGTAACTCTATCTTTATAAGTGACTTCTATAATCCTACGAACAGCTTTCATAACAGCACTTTTAAGAGAACTGGATATCACCTTGGTCAGCACCCAGGTTTCAGAGCAGTACATCAGAGCTGGCTGGAGACAGACTCTGTAGATATGCCATCTTGTAATAAACTCAATTTCTTTATTAAGCAGCTGAGGCGCAATTTCTTCCAGAAAGCTGTTATTCTGACCGATGATGCACGTATTGCGTCACTTTCACCAGAAACCATGTCGCCGAAATAGCAAACTCTTTAACAGTATTCAGGTTTCAGATTGATTGATCCGTAGAGTAGCATTGATTTGAGCGATAAATGGAGGCATTCTTGCATCTTGGACACACTTTACAAGTATTGTTTCGATACTTTCTTATACCACTGCATTTTTAAGCACCTATTGTTTAAATAGTTGCAGCACATTAAATAGCCGCCGACTATTTAAACAACAAGTAGTCGGACATTTTTTGAGAAATACACTTTTGGCCAGAAAACCAAGGCTTTGTTTCATCCAAGCTAAATTTTGAACTTAAATTCAAAGTATTACAATTCTCAAAAGAAGGATTCCGTTTCAGCTGCTATCACAAGGTAATCTGAATATAGCATAATCCCACGGTACGTGGAACCACAGTTTCTCGTAGCCTCTTCAATTACTATTATAAATAACAGTGGGCTAAATGCCGATCATTGATGTACACCTGCTTCAATTTCAAAGTAATCTGGGTCCGCTGAACTCTGGCTTTCGACTAGATGTACATAGCACATTTTCGGGGAGTCTATTGCTTCAGAGCCCATGGAATCAATTGCCTGGGATAACGAAGGCTTTTTCAAGCTCAACGAATATGTGATGCAGGAGTTTTTTCTTTCCCACGATTTATCAGTGGAAGTGTGTAATAAAAAAACGGCATCGTTAGTAGTTTTTCAAATATTTTTAATGCAGGTTCCAGGTATCTTCTGATGCCCCTGTATGATCCACATCCTAACGTATCGCCTTTTCCTTTGTATATGTAAATGTTTCACTTTTACTCCACTAGGAAGGGATTAGACCAGAGTTCCAACTTCATTAATTCCAGCAAAACCACAAACGCAAATTTTATCACGTCCGAAGTTAGCCTCGTTGGTCCTGGGATTTCCTCATTTTTCATTTCTCTGTGCCAGTGCCACTTCTGGGTAAACATTTCCTGCAATGGGCCAGCCACCAGAACAAAAACAAAATTTACACTTTTTTAACGAAAAGCTTTTTCACGTTCAATCTCTCTAAATTTTACAACACTTTAAGTCATTCAAAATTTGCGCGCCGTTTCCGTTTTATTATTTGGTGAGCGTAATTTGCTTCCCTTTTAACAAATGAAACTGAATTTAAAACAAAACTAGAACCGCAAAAAATCGAACTTGGCGTGATCAAATTTCAAAGCTTTATCCTGTCAAAAAAAACCATCAAGACCTATAAATGTTTCTTCAATACGTTCCTATGCACTTTAAACATAGACACGAATGACACGGTAAATAGCGAACTTCCGATGTGATACAATTTACACGTTAGAGGCGACGCAGAGCGTCATGCAACGTACGATAAAATGACTGAGCCAAAAGGTACTTCGGTAAACGACGTCTATTGAGCCGAAAACAAAAATGCACAAGAAATTGTCAAAAAATCGAGCCATTAAGTTTCAAAACTTGAAACTATTACACCAAAACCGTCTTATTTTTTCTAATATATATTTTCAAAATAATCAAGTTTTGCCCATCCAATGACAAAAAAGAAATTGACTCACGGATAAAGTATCATTTATAGTTTTAACCATTAAAATCTACTGAATTCTCAGTGAAAAGCCTCAAAAAAATTCGATCTGCAAAGTTTAATTTGAAATTTTGAAGGGTGCCGGAATTCATAACGGCGACCAAAAATTCACTGAATTTGGCTCTTTTTTTTCTAATAAATTGCGCTCTTGTTCCACAGGTTAGCGGTGCACTAATCAATTCAAATTGAAATGAGGCAAATCAATTCGTCTTTTTGCCATGATACGATACGCATTAAATATCTCTTTGTACTTGACATATGGTATGGGGGATTAAAAGAAGAAAAGACATGTAAATAGATTTTTGGAAAGATTTGATCAATTTTTTAAGCTTATATATTTTATTTGCCCACTAAGTGCACTCGGAATGTTGAGTGATCCACACTAATATATGAGCTGAGCAGTCTTCTCTGTCCTGCACGTTACACCATACAGTTGTCTCTTATATGGGGTGAACTCATTAATTAAAATGAGCCACGAAAATCAGACTTCCAAAAGAATACAACCTTCCGAAAACTCTAGATCCGCTCATGGTGAATCATATTTAAAATATCGGTTTTCTGTATCTGAAAACAACTTTTTACAAAAAATGAATTCAATTCAGAGTGATTATTCCATTATAGAAAATTTTATATTGCCCCTAATCTAAGGCATACTGCGATTACAAAAATAATAAAATTTAAAAATTTTTGATTAATTTTGTATCGATAATCGATGAATACTCAAAATAACGTATATACAAATTTCAAAATCTATCTAATGCTAAATATTTTCTTTGACTGGAAAGGCTACAGATATGAGAAGGCCTGTTAATAGCACACAGAAACCAAAAAAATAGTAAACAATTTTAAGACATTGACACCGAAATGATACAAAAGGCACATGCCGAGCAAAAAAGTCTTCGCCAAAAGTTTTTGATATTATTTTGGTCTCATTTTCTGGAGAATGGGCATCTACTTGGTCGTCAAACACAACTCTAGATTGATTGTCAGTTTCATTATCATCGTCATCATCTGATGTGAATTGTTCTAAGGATGCCTGGTTGTACAATTCAGGGGTTGACACACTAAATGATTGTGAATTAACGATCCTGCGCGATACAGTATCATTAGATTGAATCACCGCATCACTTTCAACTGTTCGCTCATCCTCATCTATGTCTTTAGTTGTACTCGCACTCAGAGGCGAAAGGTGGAACGACGAGTGATACTTACTCCTCTGATGAAGCTGCCTCGCTAAAGACGCAGCACTTGGTGCTCGACTGGGATTGATTACATTCAAACTAGAAAATCGAGGCATACTGTCACCTCGATTCATGATATCGTTGGCAGCTCTCTGTTTTGCAATGGTCGCCTCTTGTTCCCAATCTAGTCTGTATATTGCACAGAGGAGAATGAGTGCTTGTATCGTTGACCCAATACTCAAACCTAACCAGTAGCCTTGTAATTTAAGGTCTGTTAGGAACATGAGACAGAGACTCAAAGGCAGTGTGATTATGTAATAGTTCACAAAAGTACCGATAGCGCCAATTAGTTGTCGACCACAGCCACTCAGGATTCCAATACAAACAGCAACTAAACAGTCAGAGATTGAGCACCAAGACAAAAAAGGAACTAGCTGTGCGAAATGAGTCGCTACTTTCTCTTCAGATATGATGAGATAGGCAACTTTATTCCTGAATATAAATAACAAAGAAGAGAAAAAAGAAACTATTAGAAATGCTAAAATTAATGAGGATAACACAGTTTGCTTCGCCGTTTTGTAGTCGCCAGCTCCTAACAGGTTTCCAACACGTATACTAGCCGCATATGCGACGCCTGCGCCCCACATGAAGAGACACGTGGAAAACTCATACAGAATTCCTTGCACACTAAGGTTATGCGAGTCTAGAATACCAGCTAGAACGGATCCAACCTCGAATATCACCATGTCACTAACTACCATGACTGTTCCAGGTATGGCAAGCTTCACGTAGGGCGCCCATCCATAGACAACTGACCAATGAAAACCAGGCCAAGTTTTAACATGCAAACGAAAGTGTATGATGATCACGAAATATACGAAAGCTAGAGTGTTGAGCGAAATAGCGAGGGCAAAACTGACTCCTACAATGCCTCCGTCCCACACATAAATCAGCAGATAGCAGAGAAGAGCGTTGACGGCATTTGCGATTATGTTTGCAAACACTGTCGCTTTCACATACCCTTGGCATTGTAGGAACTTTCCCAGCAGAATAGAAAAAACTTCCCCTGGTAGTGATATTAGATAAACCTTCAAAAAAATTCCCGTTAGAACAGCTGTTTCTTCGTTGAAATGCAAACCAATCAAAATCCAGTCACTGACTAGGTATAGACCGACACAAGCCATCATGTATGGCAGTATAATCAGCATTGATTTCTGCAAAACGAAGCCCATTTCTTTGAAATGCTCACCCCCATAGTATTGCGCAAATAAAGTATCAACAGCAGCACTCAGTCCAAGTATTACAGCCGTTCCGACAATATTTCCAAAAGACAAGGCAGCAACAAATGCGGCGTAAACATCCTCGTTCGAGTGTCCGCAGAAAATGCTCGCTACCAGTTGGAAAAGTGTTTGCTCTAAGAACGTGGATAGGCAAATGGGCAAAGACAAGAGAAATAGCACCTTGAACTCTTTCATCATGCCGAAATACTGGTCACCGGAGCATATCACTACACCACTTTCATCAATATGCCTTCCGTTTTCTGCCTCACCAAGTAAATCAGATGGTCCTTCCTCGATGTCACTTTGATAAAAATAATCATTTCTATATCCTACACTTGAAAATGGCTTCCGTTCTTTGTTCTCTACCATCTAGGATGCATTTTTAGCACGAATAAAATAAAAATCATGCAGCTATCTTAAATACGCTGAAAAATTGCAGTTTACGCAGAGGAAACACGAAGCAGTGGGTATTAGCATGTACCAAAATGATAAATTAGTCTCATTCGTACCAAAACAAGAAATCAATCGCGTTAAAAAAGAACACTTTATTAATTGAAAAAGTAAAAATGAAGTGATAAGTGAAGTCAGAACTGATAAAATTTATACGAAACTTAGAAATACAGGAGCTCAGCCCGCTAGCTTAAACGGTTTGGCTAAAGTACATCATACAGAAACACCACTCCATCCGGTTCTATCAATACCTGGCGGTAGTTATCACAAGCTCAATGAATTTTTGACCCCTCTTTTTGAAAAAAATCTGGGCGCAAACATTGAAGCATTGTAACATTCGAATCCAGTGGAAGATACATATCGACGGAAATTAAAACTAAGTCCTACTACGACTGGCTAACGTCTAAACAGAACTTTATATGCTTTTCACCGTCTCTACCAAGCCAGTACTTTCGGTGGTCTTTTCTAACATCAGGTCGACAAAAACATTACTGCTTTCGGCTTCGGTCAAAACACCCAAACTAACTTAATTACATGCAGGAATAGTGAGCTCATGGCTGGGTATCAGTATCCCCAGACCACGAGGTCACTCCTAAAAACAGGGCCACTACTATTTATTATATTACTATTGTTTTTGTTCAGTAGATAAAAATCAAATCTCCATCGAAGATGGATCAACCCTTTCCCCCAACTCCTAGCTTCTCATCCTTATCAAAATGAATCCAGTTGTTAATTAAATTCAAATCAGGCAATGACAAGAAGCTAAAATTTTATATAAAAGGCTAAAAGTTTCAGTCCCGAAACCCTTCCGGATTCTTGAATCCACTGAATCAAGCTCGTTAATCTCGATTTCTTCGTAATCCGGAGGGCTGTCTTCCACCCTTCACCGTTGTATGCAACGGCCTTGCAACTATTGTAGCGACAACAATAGTTGCAACTCGGAACGCTCTCTGCTATTCCTGCAATCTGCTGTTGTTTTTTGATCACGATTCTCGTAGTTATCGTCCACGCAACTAATGGTGTTGTGTTTTTTCTAGCTTTTCTGCCAAAATGGCCTTTTCTGACGTTTCTCAGAAATGTTACGTAATCACTTCGAAAATTTAACAATTAGCAATTTCCGAATCCTTTAACCTTCACGTTTTGTTCAATCGTTCAAATAACGTTCTCAATTCTTAATAATCACCAATCCGGAAGGCTCGCTGCTAAAATTTCGATTTCTGCAGAGATTGCATACTCCCCGGACAGTCCGGTCAATGTCCTCATTGAATCACGCAATGTTCGTAAAATAGATACAGTGTCATCGAACGGAATTTACAAAATGCACGAAATTATTTTTATCCACGTCACATCGACTCACTGCAGAATATAAATGGCCTCATACTACATCACTATAGCCTTCAAATCCTTTCATTGATCTGCACATTGAGGATATGACCTAAGATAAAACATATTTTCTGACTTCCAGTGTCAATGTCCCGATTAAAATTTTTTCTCTTAGATTTAAAAAGTGTTGGCTTGCAGGACAGGCCTGCCAACCAACAAGCTAAAATTATCCTACTATAATTTTCCCTTTGGAAATCTCGCTTGTTATTGTCCTGAATATTAAAACTAAGAAACTCTGTGGTTAGAAAGAACAATGAAACAATCTCCCTCTACGAGAGATTACCCAAACCTTCCATGTCACCACAAAGTGATCAGTTCTCCTAGCTGATTAAAAACAGTCATGTAGGCTGGAATATTTAAATATACTCCTTCACTAAAGCCTTTCTAAATAAATAGTAAGTGAGCCACTTCAACTAAAATCAAAATGCAAATTTATAAATGCAACAATTTCAAAACTCAACTAAATGTTTCATTTTCAATTACAACTTGGTTGCTTGGTTTCTCACTTGAGTTTTTTCACACACATAAAACAATTCTGAGTTTTAACTTTTCTTCATCACTCCTTTGTTTTCTTCTTTTTTCGTCGTTTAGAAGTTCTAAAACTTCTAAATTCTTCTAATTTCGTCTCTTTTTGAATCTTGTTCTTCGATCATCCGTCAATGCTCCATTTCTTCCTCCTGTGATACCGACTCTGCACTCTCAGTTTCCGTATCTTGTAACACGTCGTTAGCTATCCTGACGCTGCTGGAAGCCGTCCTCCAACACTTCTGCTCTTCTACCCTCTGTTTGCAGCAAGGTAGGGGATCCACGTTAGATTCTCTGTTCCTGCAGAAGCTGTTGTGGAGACACAACGTCACGTTTCTCTCCAAATCATCCTTTAACATCTCTGCTTTCTCCTCTCCACTACGTTCACTTGTCCTGGAAATTCTTTTCACAGCGGTGGTCACTGCATTCCGATGAGTCACGAGAGCTCGCTTGAAAGCTCCTGTTCCAATGTCCAGCTGATATTGACTGTACACTCTGCCATGCTTCGACATATGCTTTTTTGCATATTCATACAACCAAGCAGTCATGTTTGCTCTGAACCATGGCATCAATCGTTTTCTTGCCCAAATCTTCTTCACTTCCATCGGAATATTTAGAACTTTGCACATTGTCTGAAAAAGATCTAAATCTTTTAGACAATCTAACTTCCGCAACTGTTCTCTCGTCGGTGCCTCCTGCCTGTTATTTTCTCTCACATGAGCTTCCAGCCATCGTATCGCCATCATAACTCCCACTATCACTATTGTTACGGGCTGTGATGAATCTGGTAAACCCATGGAGAGCAGCTCTCCAGAGTGCCAGATCAACACCAGATTACTACGCCCGGGGTACCACCATGTTTGCAGCAAGCATTGGCAGGGAAATTCATCTTGTGTTAACATGATGCTCCTCCAATTACGCTTTTCCGAAGCTTCCAGTAGTGTTTCTACTTGAACAATGAAACAATCTCCCTCTTCGAGAGATTACCCAAACCTTCCATGTCACCACAAAGTGATCAGTTCTCCTAGCTGATTAAAAACAGTCATGTAGGCTGGAATATTTAAATATACTCCTTCACTTAAGCCTTTCTAAATAAATAGTAAGTGAACCACTTCAACTAAAATCAAAATGCAAATTTATGAATGCAACAATTTCAAAACTCAACTAAATGTTTCATTTTCAATTACAACTTGGTTGCTTGGTTTCTCACTTGAGTTTTTTCACACACATAAAACAATTCTGAGTTTTAACTTTTCTTCATCACTCCTTTGTTTTCTTCTTTTTTCGTCGTTTAGAAGTTCTAAAACTTCTAAATTCTTCTAATTTCGTCTCTTTTTGAATCTTGTTCTTCGATCATCCGTCAATGCTCCATTTCTTCCTCCTGTGATACCGACTCTGCACTCTCAGTTTCCGTATCTTGTAACACGTCGTTAGCTATCCTGACGCTGCTGGAAGCCGTCCTCCAACACTTCTGCTCTTCTACCCTCTGTTTGCAGCAAGGTAGGGGATCCACGTTAGATTCTCTGTTCCTGCAGAAGCTGTTGTGGAGACACAACGTCACGTTTCTCTCCAAATCATCCTTTAACATCTCTGCTTTCTCCTCTCCACTACGTTCACTTGTCCTGGAAATTCTTTTCACAGCGGTGGTCACTGCATTCCGATGAGTCACGAGAGCTCGCTTGAAAGCTCCTGTTCCAATGTCCAGCTGATATTGACTGTACACTCTGCCATGCTTCGACATATGCTTTTTTGCATATTCATACCACCAAGCAGTCATGTTTGCTCTGAACCATGGCATCAATCGTTTTCTTGCCCAAATCTTCTTCACTTCCATCGGAATATTTAGAACTTTGCACATTGTCTCAAAAAGATCTAAATCTTTTAGACAATCTAACTTCCGCAACTGTTCTCTCGTCGGTGCCTCCTGCCTGTTATTTTATCTCACATGAGCTTCCAGCCATCGTATCGCCATCATAACTCCCACTATCACTATTGTTACGGGCTGTGATGAATCTGGTAAACCCATGGAGAGCAGCTCTCCAGAGTGCCAGATCAACACCAGATTACTACGCCCGGGGTACCACCATGTTTGCAGCAAGCATTGGCAGGGAAATTCATCTTGTGTTAACATGATGCTCCTCCAATTACGCTTTCCCGAAGCTTCCAGTAGTGTTTCTACTTCCATCATCACGCGGTGGACTTCATCTTTCTCATTTACTGTGTTGTAATCCGTAACGGTTGATCCTCTCTGTTTTTGCCTCAGAGAGTTTATTGACTCCAATTCTTCTTTGGTTCTCTCTGGAACTGCTGAGAACATCTTACAAAGTAACTCGTAAATTCTCGGACATTCTCGCCAGTCTCACATACTTCGGCACTGAGAAGGCTTGATCCACAATCGTTCTTGTACTCTTCACGTCCCCAGCTACGAAATGTACAGGGTATCTGCTCTTGCACATTGGAGCCAAAGTTGAACCCACCAAATATCGTGCTCCTGATGGTCTACAATAAGTCTCACTGTGTCTAATGTTCATTTCCGTCTCGATTGCTTCCCTCCATTTTCCTATGTATTTCTGCTCAGTCTGCAGAACTCCTGGGAATACTTCTACGCTGATGGCTGTGACCATCTCATGTTTCTGTTCTAGATTCAATAGTGACTCTAAAGAACCAAACATGCTGTAGAATCCTAGTGCAGTCACTAGATTCACATCGGTTCCTCCATGGCAATCTGCTATCAGTTCCGTTTCTGTTCTTGATTTCATCACTACGTTTCCAAACAATACCGTCAATTGCTTGTGTTGTTTCTCCAGGGTCTTCACACAGTCCGGACCTCCACAAACGTGACCCTCCAGTCCACAGACTTCCTCCAGACAGCTACCAGGTTTGACCCAGTCTTCTGGTCCCCAGCCAGGCAACTCCACTTTATCTTCTCCGTTGCTCTTAGAGGCCGTTATCATCACATTATATATGATGTTGAGGTCACGCAGGTTACAGTCTGCATTCAGTTCCCTCTGTACGTCTTGTGTCGCCCGTAATATTGAGTCAGCGTTGGGACTAGGACACCATGATGGCCTCATCAATTCCCACACTGCCATCAAGCTCG